AAAAAAAAAAAAAAAAAAAAAAAAAAAAAAAAAAAAACTTTCGACGAACTGATAACCTCCTCCGTTTTTGGAAGTTAGTTAAAAAATAATAACTAAAATCAAGAAGCGATAAAATAAATAGTCAAAATTTGTCAATATGTGGGTGTCGTCTAGTTATTATAAGCACTGTATGCATGGGCGTAGCCAGGTAGGGGAAGGGGGTTGCTCGAGCCTCCCCCCCCTAACTTTCAAAATTTCCTTATATATATTTAAATAGTACCCTGAAATGCCAGCTTAATAGGGTCGAGCCCCACTCTAAATTTCATTCTGGCTACGCCGATGACTGTATGTGTAAATATATGTAAGATAACGTCGATGCTTGGTGCAGAAGAAATAACTTAAGATTAAATATAAGCAAGTGTTTTCATGTCTCTTATTCTAAACCTCTTTATTCCATTCCACCTCCTATCACATTGATGGTTATAGGTTATCCAATCCGAGTGAAATTATTGATCTTGGGATGGTATTTGACTCTAGATTCTCCTTTCAAAGTCATTTAAACTACACTATTGCAAAGTCATATACTGTACTTGCTTTCATTCGACGTTTCAGCTCAGTCTTTACTGATCCCTATACTCTTAAGTTGTTACCCTCCAGGGAAACCGCGGACTAGTGAATCAAATTTCTAGTTCCGTACTAGGTCGATAAGAACTAGATCCCCACCAGTCCAAAATCGGCGAAAAGTGGTACTTTTAAGAAACTAATTTTTTCAGTTTTTTTCACTACAAATCTATATCTAAAGTGACGAATTTAGAAATGGTTCGGAACTATAGAAAAAGGGATGCAGAACGAACTAGATCCTATTTGTCGAGTTTAGAACTATTTCGGAACTATCGAATAAAGGATGCAGCGGGGGGCTTGTTTACCTTACATAGATATGTGTTCGGCGGCTTTTTCGTTCAAATGCGCTTCTATTCTGTGCTTCGCAGATGCTATTTCATAGTTTGGTAATACAAAACAATGCTTTGTGTTAATATATTAACAACTTGGGGTCGTCTGGAATCTAACCAATAACAGCGAGCACCTCTGCAAAGTCAGCTACAGCAAGGTATGTAAACGTACATTTCTTACAATCATTCACACAAATTTAATTTCAAATTGAAAAAAAGGTTTCTTTGAAAACCTCGTGATACTTTTTTCTTTCGTCTGTCAATTTTAGAACTGGTTCGGAACTATAGAATTTAGGACTAGTTCGGAACTATCGAAAAAGGAATGCAGCGGGGGGCAATTGACACTTCCTAGGACATCGCCATGTTAAATTCGCCAGTTGCTTGCATGTAAAAGAGATTTATCGCGAACCAGTACTGGGTCTAAATGTACTAGAAGCGCCCCAGTTCAGATCTAGAGATTTTCACCACAGGGTATGTACTTCCCTTCTGCGTTCTAAGTTAGAATACGCTGCTTTTATATGGAGACCATATTATGCATGTCATATTAGTAGGCTTGAGCGAGTACAAAAAGCCTTTATCCGCTATGCTGTACGTTCCCTGAAATTTACTGAGCCAATTCCATCTTACAGAGGTCGGTGCATGCTCATTAACCTAAAATCGTTAGAAAGTAGAAATAATATTCTCTTACTTACTTTCGTTTTCGACCTAATAAGTGGGACGATCGACTCCCAGTCTTTACTCGAAAAAATTAATTTCAATATTCCGCTGCGAAGTCTACGGAATCATAACATTTTCTGGTTGGGCATTGTTGAAACTAATTATGCTTGTAATGCTCCGATTCTGAGAACTTTGAGAGAACTTAATTCGCTTTCAAACTTTAATGGTCTTAGCTTTTCTTCCCCAAAATACTATTTATTTCTACATGTTATTAAATGAATTATTTATTTAGTCTTGAGTGCCCTTTAATTTGCATTCTTTGTAATCTGTAAGAAATGTTACACTGTTCTAGATTAACTAAAATGAATAAATAAATATATTACCGGTTAAACCCAATTTTCGGAAAAACCAGTTTTGCCTAAGCTAATCTTGTTCTATCTAAATGTGGTAGAATAGAAAGGTATAGCTTGGACCAAACTGGTCTGGCCCAAGCCCAATAGGAGGAATCAGTTGCATACAGCACAACGCTCAATAACAAAAATTAGGGCTTGGTACTCGGTAATTCGGTGCTCGGAAAGGCCATCTTTCCACAGGAAAACACCAATGTCGTGATAACCATGTCACATAATATATTTCCAATGGATACCGCCTATTTCTCGTGGGTTGCAATATATGTCAGCGCTTATTGCTTGACATCTATTGCAGGAAATTTGATAGTTCGGCAGCCATATTTTCACTCGAAAGAAAGCGTGCTGGTGGTAACATCGATGAAATATTAATATTAAATCAAAATAAGAATCTGTTTCCTATTGGATTATTTATGATGACGTTTTAGGAAGTTTTCAGCAAGTTTTTTTTTTTTTAATTAAATGTTTTTAAACACCGAAATTGACTTGAATTGAATGTTTTCTGGCGGCGTCATGCGGCAAATGCAATAAAAATTGCAAGGTGTAACTGCAACTCGCAAATCGCTTTCGGGAAATAATTTCGACTTGCTCGTGCAATAAATGTTAATGTTTGGAAAATGGTTTTTCATAAAAATTGTTGGTTTTATTTAATATTGATGCTTTGATACTTAAATGAAAAAAGTGATACATATTGATACATTTTAAGTCTCTTTTCTGGTAAAATTTTTCACAAGTTTGCGGTCACACTGGTAGGAATTTAACCAGGTGCAACATACAAAGTGGCTGAATGACCATGGAATGGCTTTCGACGTGGACAGTAGATGGCCCGGCTTGAAGGAAATACTTGCAGTTGTGGTCCTCACGGTATCATCCTAACAAGAACTTTCGGCTGCGTAAGTCTTTATACCTACTCCCTAAAAGAAAGTTTAGTCTACCTACTAGTTAGACCCGGTGAGCACACACGCGCGGCTAATTTTATCGGTCGATAAGTTGCCTAGTTAGAACTCGATATTAAGTTCCTACATTTTTAATGTTTAAAAAGAATTAGCAACTGAAGATGTGACTATTTGTGATGTATTAAAGTTTACGTTTTTTGTTTCCTTTAAGTACTTTTTATCTACGCAATAATCAAACTCGTTTTTTGTTTGAATTATTTTATTTTAACATTTAAAGAATTGAGAGTGAAACTCCAAAGGAATATATGGTTACCTTAAGGTGACAAAGTATCAAGTCCATTTTTTTTTTAAGTTGTTCAGGAGAGACAAAAAATTGATGTAGTTTCGCATTACCTGTCAGTCTGCATCAAAAACTTAGTTTTGTAAAAAGTGGACTTGGCACCATTTCACCTTTAGATAGCGATATGTATACATTTTTATGAACAATATATTTGTACATACTAATTTACGTACATTTACATATGTACATGAAAAAGTCCTAAAAAAAAAAATCCTAAATCGATATTCAATATCAATATAGTATCAGTATTTTTTGGTTGATATATCAGCCGATCAGCCGATATTTTTTTGGTTAATATCGGTATCGCCAATATCGATGATTTTATGAGCGATATTGCATCCCTACTTATTCGACTTCAAGTAATTTTTGGTTCTATTAGTCTTTTTAGAACTGACTTCAAACTATTACTGCGAGCCTTTAAGGTAAACTAGAAAAACGCATTTTCGGAAATTTTCATAGCAAAATAAATTTGTAGTGCAGAAAATGCTTAACTTAAGACTCTTCAAAATTCCACCTTTTTATACTTAAAATAATTGAGCTATAAAGCTGCGTACTAGAACTTCATTTAATTCTGATTACAAAGATTTAAATTTTTTGCTTTACATTGCCAGTCAAATAATCGACAGTATGTACATATGTAAATAAAAAACTTTACTTTTACTCTGTGGAGAAATTATTATTTTTTATTGAATTAAAACTAAACTAAAAAAGCTAAAATCGTCGACGAGTATTCTTTGAACTGGGTGGATAGTTTACTTTCCGCCGCCGCCACCGCCACCACCACCGCCTCCGAGTTCAAGCTCAAGACCGCCACCGCCGCCGCCGCCGCCGCCACCACCACCGGGCAATGGTTCAGGATTGGGGTTGGGCATAGGGTTGGGGTTGGCTGAAAATATACAAAACATCCATTATTCAAGTTATTAAAACGTGTGCGTTGTTTTAAGTACACCTACATATATTATAGTCCTACAAATGCGTAGCACATCCTTCAATACTCACCGAAAGCCAAAGCCAAAATGGCCAATACGAAACCGAAGAAAAGTGTGAACTTCATGTTGCAAATGTTGCGAATGCAATGAATTCTATCTCAAATGCTTCTGCTTTTATACAGAATCTTATCGCATTGCAATGCATTAAGCAGCCATGAAAATCCACTGGGTTAGTTATGTAACAGATAATGCCTGCTTGGTAGCGACCGGCTTTACTGTGGTAATTAGAAGGCGCAGCACGAGATTTTCTAATCGATCAAAAGAGATGGACGACATACATATGCGACTTTTCAATTCGTAGAAATTTTAACAGGTTTCTCAGTGTGAAAAACAATAGCGACATGTGGCGGCGTCTGCTCTGCTCAATCCACCCCACTGCTGACAGGTTCTACTCCTCAATGCGCAATATCAAACCATCACCTTTAACATGAACAAAATGCCACATCTTATTACTTATTTATTTAAAAGCCGTTTAGTTAAGGTAAACAAATAAACAATTTTTTTAAGAACATTTCGCTTCATATAATGGCACATATGTTCAAAGAAAAGAATACTGTAGTAAAAATGCCAAACATAAACTGTAATCCCTGCAGGGAAACCGCGAATTAGGGAATCAAATTGCTAGTTTCGTATTAGATCTTTTTCGCCACAAACGAAACAATCCGATAGTAACTAGATCCACACCAGTTAAAAATCAACGAAATATGGTACTTTTAAAAAACTATTTTATATCACTTTTTTTCATTAGAAATCTATATCTAATATTAGAGCTGTTCTTTTGTAGCTCGGTTGCAAAAGAATGGACCTATTATAGTTGACTTTTAACCGATTTCACAAAAGGGCGAAGGTTATCTGTGTGTCTATTTTTTTTGTGTGTGTTACCGATTTCTATAATTCTTTTTTAAAGGAAAGGTAGTGCCATTTTAATTTGGTTTAAGGGCCTTATTCTGTATCACGAACGATAGGCAAAACGATTCGTCTGCAGACGACAACCTCTCTGATTGCGATTTTAAACTCTATCGGTCGTCTTCCTCTTGCTTTTCATACATTACGTTGCAATGGTCTCGGTAGCGTTTAAACAGGTTAAAATGATGCCGCCGGACTAATTTTTGAATCATTCCTCTGCAGACGAATCGTTCGTGTTGCCTATCGTTCGTGATACAGAATAAGGCTGTAAATCTGATGATTGGATCATGAAGAAATTAACGACGATCTTAAATTTTTATACGAGTCGGTTTTGGTTTTTGCTTGTTGTTACTTTTCATCGTTTACTAATAAAAACACAATAGTGGTATTCATCTAAACCGATAACTTTATCAAGCAGATAATCTTATAAGTTTACACACTCTGTTACATGAACGACCCACACTCTCTTTTCGTTTACACTTGCGACAATAGTCGTGTTTTCTTTGGTTATCGAGCTCAGTATCACTAACTTTATATTACTAGCACGAGGATAAAGAAATTATAGAAACTAACTCATTAAGGGCCGTTTTCTCAAGTATCCTGTAACTTTAAAGTTCACTTTATATTTAAAGGTTACATTAAAATTTGAGATTGTGCCTAAAGTAGAGCATTTTATTACCCGTTTTAAATTGGTTTACAACCAAGAAAGATACATACGTCATAAACTGATAATAGAAATGCTTAACTTTAGACATAGCTTTACTTTTAATCCAACCTTTAAATATAAAGTAAGCTTTAAAGTTAAAGGTTACATCAGAAAACGGCCCTAAATGGGAAAAAATTATATTTACGAGATATTATTAAACTGTACTGCAGTCATTTTTCTCTATTGTATACTTGTATAGTAATATAAATCAAATAAATCAATAAAATCAATCAATCAAATAAATGCACATATAACATAAAGGCGATTTATTTGAAGCAATTTAAAAGAAACAATGAATGAGAATGAGATGAGATGAGAATATCTGTTTGTGTATGAATTCATTTGTCACTGCTACCAAACTGTGGGGCCAAATTATCAGTGAAACAAAACAAACAGAATGGATAATAATATAACCAGATCTCTGTCAGGATCATATCGTTGTTGTTGAATTTGCAAGCAAAAGTTTTATGCGGATCCCGATTATTGCCCAAGAAAACATAGCTAGAGTTGCGGCAGAGTTGCATTGGCTTCAGTTTATCAAGTTTATTCACTGAAATCACTGGAGAAATTTATCTGAAATGTGTAAACGAGTTTCCATACAAATTTTGACAGTTCATTTATAAGGTTTACATAATTATAACTTTATACGGTTTAGAATGCATTTATAAGGTTTGATGAATACCCTTAATGAAAAATTTAACTATGTTTTTTTTTTAAATCTTGGATCTCTCATCTGTCATGAATATGTATAGGTGCATCCTCGAAAGTCGGTAAATTATTTCAATAACAGTTTACCAAACACGCGCGAAGTCCCGCGCAACCGAGTCCAGCTAGTAGGTAGTTATATATAGAGGAGTTATTTTTCTTGTAACAGGTAATCTCGCGAACGGAAGGTCCGATTTTCGTGAAGTTTTGTATATATGTAAATAGCTTTCAGCAACCACCATGTCAAGGGTAGGGGGGACCAAGGCCCGATTTATTCGAAAAAATCTTATTTATGGTCCGAATTGCTTTCAATTTGGTACGTAAGTAGCTTTTTGCCTAGATTAGCATATATAATCTATTTTTCCGGTACCAATTATATAAAGAGAAGTCCTATCCTTTATAATAGTTGATTTCGCGATCGCCTGTACCGATTTTTTTAAATTTTGGTAACTTTTTGATTATAGGCTGATAATAATTTCGATATATCAAGAAAGCCTTTACATCTCCCATACAAATAGAATTCTCTGGAAGTATTTGTGGTAGAGTCCTGGAAATGGGGTGTGGAGATTTTGAAGCCAATCACATACTCATGGAGAAAACTGGGGGCTATAGCAAAAAGGGCGTGTGGTGCCTTTCAGACATACTAGAAATTTTACCTATCTGCAAATACATACATACATATATAGTTCTTCGGCATGTGTGTTTGTGAGTGAACTCTTCCTAGATGACCGAAATGATTTTAATGAATTTCTTTTATGTGGTTTAGTGGGTCCCTGTATAGTTCAGGTTCTCAACTGAAAATGCCAGCTGGCGCTGGAGTCGCGTTTTTTCTGACAGTCGTATTTATGATCTAAACTGTCTAAGATTCAAAATATGTATTGGTAACGTGAAGCGAAAAAATTGCTCGGTAGGGGCAATACTATTGCAAAAAGAGCCGCAAGGTGGGGTTGGAGTCGAGTTATTGCTAAAAGTCATCAAGTGAAGTCATTCGGAGACACCAGGGATCAAAGACAAATTACTACCGTTAAATCTACCACCATAACCATTGAGATCCTTGCTTTACGGCGACTAAACAGAATAAAGACAACTAGTGAACCCGCATGGTGTTAAAACGCCCAAAACTTAATTTCAAAACTTAAAAAATATTCCAAATGTTACTCAGAGTTGTAAGAGATCCGAGTGCCAGTGAATAGCAGTCTGGCATTAATTTGACCTCTCATTTTTGAAATTCCCTTTCAAAGGTATTCCCAAATTAAAACCTTCTTAAATCTCTTTCGTCTGACATTGTGATACACATGTATTTCAACAAACTGAAGAACTAATTTGAATTGAATTGTTCGAACAAATGGCAACCCTCCTTAATAAATTAATAATTTGAATATATTTTTAAACACGTAGCAACCCTCTTCAAACATTCCAAAAGGTCAAACTAAAGATTTCTTAAGATTCTTTTGTTTGACTACGATATTTTTTTATTTCATATACTTTTTGTATTAGTTAATTGAGTTACACCTTTCAAATAGGTGAAAGCCCTCTTCAAAAGTATTTTCAAGCTTAATCCTGGTTAACTCTCCTTCGCCTGACATTGCAATACATATTTTAATTAACTGACGAATTAAGTGGAATTTGGCAACCCCGCTAAGTACAGCTCAGAAATAAAATTTTTTCTAACCCCCTTCGACTAATAGTTATTAAATAATTTGAATTAAAATTTTTAAACATGTTGCAACCCCGCTAAGTACAAAAATATTCTGGCGTTCAACCAAATATTTCTTAACACTCCTTCGTTTGACATCCACATTTTGATGTTTCATATAACTTGTGTAGAAGTAAACTAATACCTCGTTTATACCAACACAAAAAGTGCTTTGACCCAGTTCGCTGTGATTCAAAACGGAAGCATAAACCAACTTTCAGTACGCTCAGAAATTCAAAAGTGTATTGATTCAAAAAATCGCTTTTTCATTTCTCATATCGGTTAGAAAACAGAAACACACTCATATGACCCGAAGTGAAAATGGGCTGGTTTTCTTTATACAGCCCGTTTTAACTTTGAATTATTATTATAACAAATTTGAATTCTTGTTCTCTTCCATTTCGGTCCACCGCGCCAATTAATTATTTAAAAAATATCGAATAAAAATAATAAATTTTGTTTACTTTTTAATACGGTTTCAGCAAGTGTGCTATAACAACACAGGTATAAATGCTTGAGAGAAATATGTGTTGCGTAAAATCATATTTTGAAGTGAAACTTCTTAATCGAGTTCGGAGATGGTTGCGTTAAATATTTAACACCAAGTCATAAAATCTGTATCGCTCGTCCGATTTTCAAAAATGAGGTGTCATATGAAAGGCCTTGTCCTTCGGGTGTGCAACATATCTTTAGTTCCATGAAAGGAGTTGCCACATGTTAGATAAACGAATTAAAAATTTCTCTGCCGCAGAGGGTTGCGTTAAATATTTAACACCAAGTCATAAAATCTGTATCGTTCGTTCGATTTTCAAAAATGAGGTGTCAAATGAAAGAGCTTGATCTGTAGATGTGCAATATAGTTTTAGGTGTTTAAAGGGTTGCCATATATACGAAAACCAAATTCAAATTATTTATTAAGTTAAATGAATTATCCCAATATGGGCATCAAAAGAAATGGTTTCGAATAAACTGTATTTTTTAGCTACATGGAGGAGGGTTGCCACCTGTTTCAAAAGTCAAATTTAGTTAAATTTATAAAATAGTCTTATGCGTAAAATACTATATAGTAAGCGTGAAACGAAAGGGCTTAAATAAACACAATTAAA